CATCGCTCGGATGGGAACACAAAAATAACCTGTCGAAGGTCCCAACCATATGTAGTTGTGGGTACCGTAATTGTGAATTTCTGCTTCGGTGAAGCTCCCCATGGGGCCACGAGGCGCTGCACTGGGCGGGGGGGAACGCTGTACTGTGTGGGTGGTGTGCCGAATTGAGTTTCAGGGACACATGCGGACGGTCCCACTGAGGGCTTCGGTGGAGCTCCCTATGGGGCCACGAAGCGCTCTACTGAGTGCGTGAAAATGCCAAATTGGGTTTCCGGGGCGCATGCGGACAGTCCCACTGGGGGCTTCGGTGGAGCGCCCTATGGGGCCACGAAGCGCTGCACTGCGCGGGTGAAAATGCCAAATTACATTTCCCGGACGCATACGGACGGTGGCACTGGGGCCTTGGGTGGAGCCCCCTATGGGGCCACGAAACGCTGCACTGGGTGGGTGAAAATGCCAAACTGAATTGCCGGGACGCATGCGGACGGGAACACTGGGTCCTTCGGTGGAGCTCCCTATGGGGCCACGAAGCGCTGTACTGGGTGTGCGGGACGCATGCGGACGGTAGCACTAGGATCTTCGGTGGGGCTCCCTATGGGGCCACGAAGCGCTGTACTGGGCGTGCGGGACGCATGCGGACGGTAGCAGTAGGATCTTCGGTGGGGCTCCCTATGGGGCCACGACACGATGTACTGGGTGGGTGAAGCGCAGGGAGGAGGGGGAGGAGGGCCACGAAACGCTGTACTGGGTGTGGGGGACGCATGCGGACGGGAGCGCTGGGACCTTCGGTGGGGCTCCCATGGGGCCACGAAGCGCTGTACTGGGCGTGCGGGACGCACGCGGACGGTAGCATCGGGATCTTCGGTGGGGCTCCCTATGGGGCCACGAAGCGCTGTACTGGGTGGGTGAAACGCAGGGAAGAGGGGGAGGAGGGCCACGAAACGCTGTACTGGGTGTGCGGGACGCATGCGGACGGTAGCAGTGGGGCCTTCGGTGGAGCTCCCTATGGGGCCACGAAGCGCTGTACTGGGTGTGCGGGACGCATGCGGACTGTAGCACTGGGACCTTCGGTGGGGCTGCCTATGGGGCCACGAAACGCTGTACTGGGTGGGTGAAACGCAGGGAGGAGAGGGAGGAGGGCCACGAAACGCTGTACTGGGTGTGCGGGACGCATGCGGACGGTAGCACTGGGACCTTCGGTGGAGCTCCCTATGGGGCCACGAAGCGCTGTACTGGATGTGCGGGACGCATGCGGACGGTAGCACTGGGACCTTCGGTGGGGCTCCCAATGGGGCCACGAAGCGCTGTACTGGGTGGGTGAAACGCAGGGAGGAGGGGAAGGAGGGCCACGAAACGCTGTAATGGGTGTGCGGGACGCATGCGGACGGTAGCACTGGGACCTTCGGTGGGGCTCCCGATGGGGCCACGAAGCGCTATACTGGGTGTGCGGGACGCATGCGGACGGTAGCACTAAGATCTTCGGTGGGGCTCCCTATGGGGCCACGAAGCGCTGTACTGGGTGGGTGAAGCGCAGGGAGGAGGGGGAGGAGGGCCACGAAACGCTGCACTGGGTGTGCGGGACGCATGCGGACGGTAGCACTGGGACCTTCGGTGGAGCTCCTTTGGGGCCACGAAGCGCTGTACTGGGTGTGCGGGACGCATGCGGACGGTAGCACTGGGACCTTCGGTGGGGCTTCCTATGGGGCCACGAAGCGCTGTACTGGGTGGGTGAAACGCAAGGAGGAGGGGGAGGAGGGCCACGAAGCGCTGTACTGGGTGTGCAGGACGCATACGGACGGTAGCACTGGGACCTTCGGTGGGGCTCCCTATGGGGCCACGAAGCGCTGTACTGGGTGGGTGAAACGCAGGGAGGAGGGGGAGGAGGGCAACGAAACGCTGCACTGGGTGTGCGGGACGCATGCGGACGGTAGCACTGGGACCTTCGGTGGAGCCCCCTATGGGGCCACGAAACGCTGTACCGGGCGTGCGGGACGCATGCGGACGGTGGAGAGGAGGAGGGGGCAGAGGAGGGGAGAACGCGGGGACCGTCTCTTCAAAACGAGGACCCAACACCGCAGGACGGTTGGGAATCAGATCGCCAGAGATCTGCGCAGCAGGCGCCCTCCGATTTCCCGCCACGACAATCGGTGCAGGTATGCAGTAGACACACACACAATCCGAATGTTTCTTTGGTCGGCGCAACGAGCGCTGATCTGTCGAAGGAGGAGAGCAGGGATCAACCGCGAGGCTCCACTGGTGCTGCCACGAATGTGTTGCTGCTTGCCGGCCTGGGCGGACACATCATTTCCCCCTGGACAGGCAGACGCTAGCAAAATTAACTACCCGTGACAATTATTGCCCGGGCGAGCGGTCGAGGGGAAGCAGGAGGAATGCAACCCACGAATCGGGGAACTAATTCAACCATGCCTCAAACATCGGCAATAGCCATGGACTCGGACAGGACCAAAGAAAGTCAGTGAGGCGCCAGAAGCAAGGGGAGGCGAGGGGAGGAAGGGGGGAGGATGAGGATCGACGCGCCGTAAGCCGATACGCAGAGATATCGGCCATCGCGCCAGGTCCGCGCTAAGGACAGTCACCTTACTGGTCGAATGCCTTCAACGCCTCCTGCTCGGCAAAAAACTGATTTCGAAACGCAGGGTCATCGGTCGCTGCACCACGCCGCGCGACAGATCGCAACCATGCGAATAGCTGGGGAGGTAGAGCAGAGGGGGGAGGGGACAAGGAGGGTGAGGGAAAGAAGGCGCCCCGCCAACTCCGCTGCGGCGACAACTGTCAATGCCATGGCACGGCGGCGCGGAACGACGAGTCGCACCGTCCAGGCTGTTCCGCGAGCCTCATGAGAAAAAAACACATGGCTGTCGCAACGTTGACATGCTGAGTGCAACCCTGCGGGCTGAAACCTGCAAGTTCAGGATGGGGGAAGGGAGTGCTCAAGAGTGAGAGGGTTCGGTGGCAACTCATGGGAGGCTCCCATCCCATCTTGTTGGCTCTTGCGGGTCGACGCGAATCGACGCTAAATCGACGCTAAGTCGACGCTAAGCGATGCTGAATCGGCGCTACCTCATCCATTATCAGTCGCTAGTCGAAGCCAGTGCACCCCACAGACGGAACTGCGAGGGCACACAGGACTCCCGTGATTTGCTGCCGAAGGCGGGGAAGGGGACGGGAACGCTTTTGTTCTCCCCCCCCTCCGCCGTCCGCCGCGCGCGCCCCGGGAAGGAAACGGGCAATAGCGACGGGCGGGGAAGACACTGGAAGTCTCCGGGGCACGACCGTGGCCCTCGGAAGCGGGACTGCGACGCTGGCGGCGGCGGGGGTCGCGTCAGGAGCACGGACTGGCCACTGCCTGCAGGGAGGAAAAGATCACACGAGCTCCTCGAGTGCGCTTTGTGCAGTGCTTTCTTTCCCTGGGAAGGGGGTGCCGGGGCACTCCTCCTCGCGCACAGCTCGGACACGTCCCTGAGGGGGCACAGAGTGCCTCTCCAGTCTCCAGCATGTGCTCAGGACCTGCCGCGGCTGCCCCCTGCCGGAGGAGCTCGACGCTCCCTCCTCCTCCTCCTCCTTCTCGTCGTCGTCGTCCTCCTCCTCCTCCCTCCTCTTCCTCCTCCTCCTCCTCCTCCTCCTCCTCGTCGTCCTCCTCCTCCTCGTCCTCCTCCTCGTCTTCCTCCTTGTCCTCCTCCTCCTCCTCGTCCCCCTCCTCCTCGGTCTCCTCCTCCTCCTCTTTACCCCTCCCTGCCTCCGCAGACCCCTGACACACTCTCGCGCCTGCGGCGCGAGGCTCCGCGCATGCCACGGGGCAGGTGGCGGCTTTCGCACAGCGGCGTGCCGGCGCACTGGTGGCCACAGCGAGGCCTCCGCCGCGGGCAGCGGCCGAGGCGTACGGCTCCCGTCTCTGGGCGTCGCCCGCAGGAGCAGGAGAGCATGCGCTGACCTCGCGCAGAGACAATCGCGCCTGGGGATCAGACGAATACGTGCGGGCATGCATATTAGGGCGGACTTCACAAACGAGTGCTGCGCCCACGGAGAACGCCGCACAGCATCTCCCTGATTAGAAACGCCCGTGCTGCGGCCGAGTCCCAAACTGGCATTCGGTAGCGTAAAGGACGTGTTCGCTCGACCCCTTGCTTATCTGAACAACAAGGGTGATGCTGCAGGGGGGCTCGAGGCTCAAATCGACCCCCTCGTGTTCCCCGCTACCGAACCCAAACTAAAATGAGACTTACGAAAACTGCAAGCTGTCGCAAGCTGCCCAGAAGACTCTTCCCAGCTCCACCACCCCACTCGCCTTCCCCGCCTCCTTTACCTTCACTTCCTCTAGGGAGCTCCAGCCGCAAGACTCCCAGCCATGAGACTTCGAACGACTGCTGCATCACAAACTCCCCTTCCTGACGACGTGAAGCCGACATCTTGGAGCAGAGCGGGTGAGCATACTCTGCAGACGCGTCCAGGCTCCTCCAGCGAGCAGAAGCAGCGTTCATCGCAGGTTTCCGCTCGCGACTGACCTGGGGGGAGTGAGACCCACCTGACCGGCAACAAAGTATGGTACAAGGGGTAAAACATTGTACAAGGGTAAAACGACGAACAAGTAAGCACCGTGGCTTGCCGAAGGCCTCTCCAGGCTGCGCCCGCGCACCTCGGCACAACGTTTCGGTCGGGCCTGTCCCCCTGCAAGGGGATTTTGGACGAAAAATTACACATACCCCCAAACTACTCCAAAAATGCACAGAAATAGTCAACAAAAATGGTCCCCGCAATTGTTTGGGGGGATTATTTTTGACTACTCCTCCTGGAAAGGGACGGGCCCGACTTAACACAACGTTTGAGTCTACCGAGGGGAGCTGCAGGCGGCCTCCTCGCTCCCCCACACACTGGCGCACGAGAAGGCCCCGCCCCTGCCACAAGGCTCCATCCGGGCCGAACCCCAACGGCGCTGCTCGTTTTCGCTTCGGTTTCGTTCTCCCTCGTTTTGTCCTCCATCCGCCCCTGCCGCAGAACGAGGTCGAACCGAAGACGGCCCACGACATCGCCGAAAACACCGTTGAGGTCCAGCCACAAGGCACCACAAAGCAAGCGCCGTGACTCGACCTCCGGAAGTGGTTGGAGACGGGGCCTGCCGCCCCGCGCTCGCGCCCGGCCCTCCGGGCCAGGAGCGCCGCGCCTGCCGGGCGAGGTCCCGCACTCGCGACCAGACAGAGGGCCCAGCAGCATGCCGTTGCCGCTGGTGACTCCTCCGCTCAGGGTGAGGAGCGAGGCACAAAGCAACGCCTGGCCCTGGACGATGACGACCTGCTCGTCGTCTGAGACGGGACCTGCTGCCCCGCGCTCGCGCCAGGCCCTCCGGGCCGGGAGCGCCGCGCCTGCCGGGCGGGGTTCCGCACTCGCGACCAGACAGAGGGCCCAGCAGCATGCCGTTGCCGCTGGGGACTCCTCCGCTCAGGGTGAGGGGCGAGGCACAAAGCAACGCATGACCCTGGACGATGACGACCTGCTCGTCGTCTGAAGCCGGAGACGGGCCAGACAGCCCAAGCGGCCCCATCTGAGATGGGGTCCATCGACCTCCTCGTCGTCTGAAACAAGCCAGGCGGCCCAAGCGGCCCCATCTGCGATGGGGTCCAGCCAGCCGGGCGTCGGCTCAGGGACAGCCCCGTGAGAAGGGGAAAGGTGGGAGAGCAAGGAGGGGAGAGCAGCAGGACGCGAGGGAGCCTGAATTCGCCGGCCCAACGGGCCAGAGGCGTGCTAAGATCTCCGGTAACTTGTTAACAATATTTCTAGTTCGCGCGCGCGGAGCGGCCCCTGGGGCCCCCGGACGAAAAGTACCCCGGCAAGGTCCCGAGAGAAGCCCGGGAGAAGCCACCAGACCACTCCAGGGGAGGGTATTTTTCGACACCCCTCACGAGGATCGTGGCCTCCGAGGGGGGAGCCGCAATCGACTACCCCCAAGAGCCCCCCAAGAGGCCCTGGGGGCCTCCAAAACGCCGCCAAGGAGCCCCAAGAGACTCCCAAGAGGTCCCCAAGAGGCCCCCAAGAGGCCCTAAAGAGGGCTCCAGGGCCGGCGGCATGAGCGAAGCGATTAAATAACATCCAGGGCTGCACGCTGAACCGCGGCCCCAGCTCAAGGTCCGCTGCAAAGTGCGAAAACGATGACAAGTTCTCTATGAACAGACTGTGGATGCAAGCACGTTTGTGCTGCTCTGTCCTCTGCTACTGGTCGGGGGCAAAGCGGCGAAGCAAGGCAGGTGGCCCCACCCTCAGAAGGCCGTTTCCCATCCATCCCTACGGGAAAACTCACCCGAGCACGCAGCCGAGGGCCCCCAGGCCACTCCCAGTCACCACTCTGCGCTGCCACAGGGCGGAAGACTTCATTTGGAAGCTGATGCCGTCCGCCCGCTTCGCGCGGCCGATGCTGACGGTCGCCGTCCGGCGCGCGCGCCGCTTGTCAATCAGAGGTACGAACCGCCGGGCCTGCTCGTCAGCGAACGCCTCGATCTCGGCCAATGCGGTGTCCTCCTCCTCCTGAGTATCGTTTAACCGATCCCCATCCCCAGCGGCGTGGCCTGGGCCCCACTGGCCGATTTACCCCCCTAGATGGGGATATAGGTCGTTGTCTTCGGGTTTCGAGGGGTGTATCCCCAACTGGGGTAGTAATTTGGTGGGGGTCTCGAAGGGGATGGGGATGGGGATCGGATGAACGATACTGATCCTCCTGCTCCTGCTGCGCACCTGGGGCCCCACTGGCGTCGCCCAACGCAGCCGCTGCTGCCCTGTCTGGCACGTCGTCCTGCCAGACAGCCGCAGCTCCCAGCCGGCCTCTGCCCACGGCGGGAGGGCCCAGCCTCGCGCCGCTGTCGGCGCCCTGGCCGCCCGGCGGCGCCTCGACGAGATCCTCTGCTGGGTCGGCGGGGCCGAAGCACTCTGGAGCCGTGTCGAAGGAGACGACCTTTCGCTTTGCTCCTCCAGGAGGCGCTGGGCACGACCGCCAAACCCGTCCTCCTTGCGGATGCCCGCCGGGGCCCGCCCGCGACGCACCTGCACGCGCGGCCGTGGGCGGACATGCGGCGGCTGCGACTGCGGCGGCGCCGTGCATCCTCCGGTACTTCGGCGTGCGGGTCGGCCTCACTCTTCCAGCTGCAGCTCTAAAAACTTATGCCCGAACGGCTGGCGGCAACCTGGCTCAAAATGGCTCGGACACGCGATCAGAGATCTTGCCACAACAAGG